CTCATTAAAACCTTTAACGTTGACTGCTAAGGCTGTACACACATATAAATGCACAAAAAAGCACGCATTTTAGACTCGCAAGGAAAAGAAAATCCGCTCAAAACAGCCATTTGTAATTATTATTATTCTCTAGGCAGCCTACAACAAAAACGGCTTGGTATATTGCACCCAAACCTTTTGTAGAATACTAAATAAGGTATTGCGATGATCGTAGGGGTATTGAAAAGTCGATTTTCAAATTTCTATCACTTAAAATTCGAGGCTAGTCGGGGGTATAAGCAATATTTTTCCATTCAAAACTTATTGTGAATACTTTTGAATGTCAGTAGAAAATATCGGAGTTTATAGGGAAAGTCTAACAATGGCGAACATATCATCCGATTTCATTACTCACTCCAAGTCCATAAAGATACGACGCTTATTACTGAACATATAATTATTTTCACATGAAAGTAATGTAAGACAACCCCTAACAACGAATGTAAATGATGAATAATGCCTGCTGAGGAAGGTGTGAGGATCGGCAAACAAGGATATATGCAGAAAGATACGAAACAAATTATTACTGTAGTATGTTTGTTTGTTTTTTAGAAATTAAGCACAAAGCTACATGATGAGTTTCTGGAGTTGTAAGTCCGCAGACATTCCGCTGTGCCACTGGGGGGCATTACTGTAGTAAAAGGGGAAATATAAGTTCCAAATCGTATTAGAGGTATGAATTTGTTCTTTATTTCTTTTTTTGGTATTAGCATACTAGTATCTTGCTGTGACGTGTTGTAAGCTCGGCATTTAGTGTTTAATGAACAGTTGTAAGCTCGGCATTTAGTGTTTAATGAACAGCTGTAAGCTCGGCATTTAATGTTTAATGAACAGCTGTAAGCTCGGCATTTAATGTTTAATGAACAGTTGTAAGTTCGGCATTTAGTGTTTAATGAACAGTTGCGAAGCTCGGCATTTAGTGTTTAATGAACAGTTGTAAGCTCGGCATTTAGTGTTTAATGAACAGTTGTAAGCTCGGCATTTAGTGTTTAATGAACAGCTGTAAGCTCGGCATTTAATGTTTAATGAACAGTTGTAAGTTCGGCATTTAGTGTTTAATGAACAGTTGTAAGCTCGGCGTTTAGTGTTTAATGAACAGTTGTAAGCACGGCGTTTAGTGTTTAATGAACAGTTGTAAGCACGGCGTTTAGTGTTTAATGAACAGTTGTAAGCTCGACGTTTAGTGTTTAATGAACAGTTGTAAGCTCGGCATTGAGTGTTTAATGAAAAGTTTTTTGCTGTGATGTGTCGTAAACTCAACACTTGGTGTTTAATGAACAGTTTTATGCTTTTTCGTTTTGTAAGTTCGGCTGTATTTTTGTTTTGTAAAGGAATGGTTTCTTTTCTATTGCTAAACCGTGTTTCAGAATCCAATTGAAGTGCCGAATTGCCACAGAGAAATATGTTTGTTTATTTTGTCAAGATGCCAATACTTCGTGAGAACTACGTTG